TCTGGGAAGAGCATGCCAAATATCAGGAAATTTGGCAAAACTAAGTGAAAAAGGAATGCAGATCTTTTGAGTCAACCTTTCATTTTTTAGAAAATTGAGATAACATCAGTTGACACAACTCTAAGAATTTAGGTGTACAAATTTCACACCTCTCTGAAGTATGTTACCACACAACTACCATCAAAGTACCAATATCAGTATTTCCCCTTCTTTCTTCCCTCCCTCCCTTCTTTCCTTCCTCCCTCCCCTTCCTTCCTTCCTCCCTTCATTTTTCTTTCATTGCTTTCTATGTATCATGTTTCCTATATGCAAAAAATGTACTCTATCACCAAGCAAGTGAAATACAAGAATGAAAAAAGAAGGCGGTTTTACCTGGATAATATGACAGACCTGTGATGTGCTTAGAAATATAGCAGAGCTTCATGTGAATGACTGAAGTTTAAAAAGACAAGGATGGCATGTATGTGGGAAGAAAGTGGCCCCAATTCACTACTGGTAGGAATGCTAACTGGTCCAGCCCTATGGAAAGTAACATGTACATTACTCAAAAAACTGAGAACTGAACTTGTGTATAACCCAGCAATTCTGATTCTTGGTATCTACCCTAAGAGTCCAAAAATTCTATTAAGAAAATGTGCTTGAACTCCTATATTCATTGAAACATTACTCACACTATCCAAAAATCTGGAAATAACCCAAGTGTTCAAGAACAGATGACTGGATAAAGAAACTATGGTATGTATACACACTGGAATATTACTTGGCTGTAAAAAAGATGAAATCAGCAATTTGCTACTACATGCATGGATCTGGAGAGTATCATATTGAGTGAAGTTCGTCAGAAGCAGGACAGACACAGAATGATCTTTCTCATAAGTGTGTATAAAGAAACAATGCAGAGGTATAACAAACGCCCAAAGGCAACAGAAACTAATAACTGGTGTTTAATATAAAGCTTGGGGTGGGGGGGCTGGAGCAATAATACAGTGCATAGGGCATTTGCCTTGCACGCGGCCAATCTGGCTTCGATTCCCAGCATCCCATGTGGTCCCCTGAGCACTGCCAAGAGTAATTCCTGAGTGCATGAGCCAGGAGTAACCCCTGTGCATTGCCGAGTATGACCCAAAAAGAAAAAAAAACTTAGAGGCATATAAGAGATAAGACAGTGTGGATGGGAGACACTCGACAAAGTGTAGTGCTTGAAGTGTTAAGCATGAAACCCTATCATTAACAGTATTGTAAACCACAGTGCCTAAAATAAAAAGTAAATTTTAAAAAGTTTAGTAAAAGTACAAGGTTAAGTAAAGGTAGATACACAGACCTGAAATCTTTTAAAAGTCCAGAGGAAATTGATCAGAAGTTACAGAAGATAAGTTTGGGTTGAATGTTAGAAAATAATTTCCAATTCTACATTATTGATTCTTGTATATTATTGCTGTGAGAATCTTGAGGAGCTCTTCAACTTATTTATTACAACAGGTTGTAGGTGTTGACTATAAAATCAGATTGCAAGTTTGTACATTTGACAAAAAATTGTGACCCTGATAATAGCTAACTATGTGCGATTGTCATAGATAATGGGCTGGAGCGATAGCACAGCGGGTAGGGTGTTTGCCTTGCATGTAGCTAGCCAGGGCCAGGCCAATCCTGGTTCGATTCCCCCGCCCCTCTTGGAGAGTCCAGCAAGCTACCCAGGGTATCGCGCCCTCATGACAAAGCCTGGCAAGCTAACCGTGACGTATTCGATATGCAAAAAACAGTAACAAGTCTCACAATGGAGATGTTACTGGTGCCCACTAGAGCAAATCGATGAACAATGGGAGGACAGTGCTATACAGTGCTATTATAGCTAAGTAATAAATATAACTATTATCACTGAGTTTATACATACATTATTCATATGCGTACATGAAATTTGAATTTCCCGAGTCCTGAAATAGCTTGTGAGTATTAATGAGTTCCCACTAATAGAACCAACCCCACTTTTACTGGGCATTCTGTAGGATTCTTAGATACTGCTCAGCGCCCACTTTGCTCTCCCTTACCAAAGTATTTCAGGACTATCTTCTCATCTTCACAGGTTATTATAAACTCTACTATGGTCACTTCCTCTACTTTTGGGGTGCATGCGGGAATGTAGTGCCTGACTAGTGGACACAATTTATCTGCTGGGCACTTCTCCAGGAATGGTGGCAACTCTGGCTCATGCTCTTTCACAACTGACCCATATAGGCCCCTTAGAGTCCTATTGGGATCAAAGTCCCACTGCGCTGTGGCAGTTGTTTGAAGGTGAGGAGAGAGTTGAAATGAGGACTCTCTCCTGTGAGATGTATTCTTCTGGAAGGGTCTAGCTTATACTTAATGTTTCCAGACTTGGGTTTTATTTATAACACATTCCTTTTTTCACTTCAGACTGGCAGGAAGGCCTGTTGAGTCTAGCACAAATGGCGCAGACACCTTTGTGACATTAAGAATTGTACATTCCTCTAACAACTGAGTCTTTGCTTTGAAATGAGGATCACAATCCTGATCTTACTTTGGGTTGGATTTTCTTCCAGCAAGTCTCTTGTTTTAGTAGACAATTAGACTTTGATCTTGCTGTGGTTGACCAAGAGTACCACACTATCTGCATTCTCACCATGGAGTGAGTCTGTATCCTTTTCATAGGAATCTCTCTCTCTTACTCTCTTTCTCTCTCCTCTCTTGCTTGCTCATTCTCCCCCATCCTCATACCCCTTCCTTCTCCTCCTCCTCCTCCTCCTCCTCCTCCTCCTCCACCTCCTCCTCCTCCTCCTCCTCCTCCTCCTCCTCCTCCTCTTCTTCTTCTTCTTCTTCTTCTTCTTCTTCTTCTTCTTCTTCTTCTTCTTCTTCTTCTTCTTCTTCTTCTTCTTCTTCTTCTTCTTCTTCTTCTTCTCTTTTCCCTCTATCCATTTTCCTCCTCCCCCTTTTCAATGTCATCAATAAGATTTGCCCTAGTATTTTTCTATCTTAAATTTCCCCCCTGAAATCTTATTTTTCTTAGATACTTTTCTATCTCTTAACATTTTTTAGATCCAATTATCTCTATACAAAAATCCCAATCTTTGCTTATAGCAACTTTCATAATAACATAATTATCTGTATTTATTTTATTGCATTTTAAATGTATCTATTCCTTATTAAGCTTGCTGTAATGAACTATAGAGGCTTTTTCCCATTTTACCACTTTAACTTCAATGATTTAACACATAAATTAGCACAGAACAAGTCTTCAATAAATTTTCCTTGCGATGCAAATTCAATGAATTGAATGAACAAATTTCCCTGAAGCCAGATATAGTACAAACTCATTTCTCTTTAAATTGGGGCATTCTGCTGAATCAACAGGAAAGAAATGGTGATACAAATAGTAAAGAAGTTCTAATGAAATAAATATTTGTTCAACAAAAATCCTATATTCTCTTCCTGAGCAGCAAACATACTTATTTGTAAAAAGAATGATTTCTCAATGGTCACGAGATAAGAATAATTTAAAATCACGTTTTAAAAAAAAACCTTGGGAAAGAAGTCTTGAGGGCACACCTTTTCACTCTTTGATCTTTCAAATTACTTCTTCAGGAAGATAGAAGACAGACTGGAAGGATGAAGCAAAGGTCTAGAGGTATTTCTAAAAGTGAGCAATACTTCTCTTGGGTTCTTGGACTCTTTCTATCTATTCTAGGGTGAAACTTCAGGCATTTGGGTAAGATTTACAATTCTTTTTATTTTTACCACAACTTCTTTTTATTATCCCAAATGTATGACCAAATATATGCAACTGAAAATGCAAGTTCCCTAATTTTTCTTTAAAAAAGGAAAAGTAAATATCTTCGTGTGTGGTGGGGTGGGGAAGTGGTGATCATTTCCTGGAATTTTGATCTGCTGACATGATGTCTTCTTAAGAAAATTCCAGTAAGCAGTGGTCTTCAATGACTTTGATCTTTGCAACAGATGTCAACTTTAGTATCAAGTTTAAAATAGTAAATCACCAATTCCATCTTGCTTAAATTCAAGGCCTTTAAAAAATATGAAATGTTGTTGATTTAACACAGGCTTTAAATGTTATATAAGTTTCAGGTTTACAGTTCTATATAAGTATACAATGCTATATAACTTCATACCACTCTCTCTACATGTATATGTCTCACCTACCTATTTCTGAAGTTCTAATGCCATTCATACCAGTAAACTGACCCCTCCGCTGCCTCCCCCAGCATCCTTTCCTTTCATCTTATTTTTTTTCTTTTTGGGTGACACCCGGTGATGCTCAGGGGTTACTCCTGGCTTTGCATTCAGGAATCACTCCTGGCGGTGCTCAGGGGACCTTATGGATGCTGGGAATCAAACCTGGGTCAGTCGTGTGCAAGGCAAACACCCTATCCGTTGTGCTATCGCTCCAGCCCCCACCTCCTTTCATGTTTTCTGGTAACCACCTTTTAATTTCTGTAGTCTATCAGTTCTTTTTGTTGTGCTTAACTAATTCAAATTCATTTGCCTTGTTAGTTACAGTTTTCTCTTTCTGGCTAGTTTTGTTAAGCATAAAGGCTTTTGCATTTATCTCCTCCTCCCCACGTGTAAAAGAAATAAAAATGTAACAAAAATATCATCTTGCCCAAATCTTTCAAATGTTTAAAAAAAAGAAACTTTATGTGGTGCAGCACTTAAACCAAGAACCTCACAAATGCACAGCGAGGTCTCTACCACTGGGTTCCACGTGCATCCTACTAAATGCTGGCATTCAAATGAGAATAGTTGGTGTTTCCCCAGATAAATTAGAAAGTATCTCTTCTAAAAGTATTTACCTAGGACACTTGTAAGTCCAAAAGAGGTGTAAAATAAGGAAAGTTGAGAACAACTGCATACAGAAATGTTGTGGGGAAATGTTTCCAAAAGAGAACCATTGTATTTTTTTAAAATTAGCTTCCCCCCACCTTTCTCTTAGCCACCTCCTCACTCTCTCTACTTGCTTTTTTGCTTTTCAGAGTTTTCTTTTGATGACACCCATGGTAGAAGTGCATTTGCCAACAGAAAAGTCTGATTGGGATCCAAAATGAATCTCATTGAACATTCCCACTTATCTGCCACAGATGAATTTTCTCTTTCTGACAATTTATTTGGTAAGTTGACAAGTTCATTTGGATCAAAGTAAAAGCAAATTGCAACTGGGAAACATAAGAAGGAAAAAAACTGCGTAATGAATCCAACAGAGTCCAGGAAGCATTTTTCTTCCTTCTACATGTTCAATAAATGTTACCTACTTTGCAAGCTAAGTGGCAGATTGGACCTTGGATTTGTTGAACCTATTGGTCTTTTTTTTTTTTATAGATGAGGACTTCAAGACTCAGAGAGCTTTGTGACTTATCCAAGGTCATAGATAATTAACAGAACTGGGAGTAGAAATGAATCCCTGCAATAGGTTAATCCTAGTATTATAATAGCATGTACTAAAATATGAAATCATGAGTCTTTTGGTTTAATATTGTACCTATCAAAGGCTGGAGTTTCTTAGATTATAGCTGTGCTATAGGTTTCCTTTATATGATTCTTCCATTCCTGGGGGACATATGGCACTGTGTCAAGATTAGTCACTTAAGTTGGATTGAGATCAAATTGTACTAAGTTGTTTTCTGTAGAACTGTAACGAGATGATATCATAAATTGATATATTGCTCTACTTTATGCATTTAGGGAAAACATTTTATTATAAAGCATTTCAATTGGGAATGTTGCCTAAGAGTCAGCAGGGTAGGACATTTTGGGTGGGACAAGGAAGCTTTTTGTTGCTCTTATTTTCCCTTCATATAAGAATCCTGCTAGTAGGTATGGATTGCTCAATTCTCACTCTGGATTATTATCTGGACCATGGTAGATTAAGATAGTGAAAACGCAAACACTCCCAATTCAACAAAATTTAATGTGTGAAAGTCTCTGTTCCTGCTTATTTGCAGATGTCCCTGGGAGATGTTGATTAATATTCTGTTATTATCTACTAGTCATTAGCACCTTAGAGTGTGATAGTTTATCAGACAATTCCCAAGGAGAGGTTATTGTCTATGTTACTGCTCTACATGTTATACCTACGCCTGTCCACAATATCAGAGCATCTAAGGAAAGAGATAATATTTTATTAATCCTAGTGTGTACTTGATAAATAAGAATCAAATGATACATAACAGAAAGGAAAAAGAAAAAACATTTAGGGGGAAAAGAGATGCTTTTTAATAACTCTCAGAGTGAAAAGGCAGCAGTAATTATTTATAAAAGAAATGTCATTTATCCAACAGTTTTACACATCTTATTTCAAGGCTTTTCTTTATCTTGTGGATGACGTCAAGTAAACGAGGAGGGTCTACATTTCTACTGGACACTTAATTGTTTGATTGTGGCCTCCCTCTAGAGGAATTCTATGTCTACTATATTACATATACGACAATACAAATACTACTGTATGTAACATATTTTTGTTCTACTCATCAGATTTAGAAGGACAATTAGAGTCACTGGTGCATGCCATAAATAAAGGATATTTTTTCCCATGAAGGTTATTTTTGTCATATAAAAATTTACTTTCCTGGGTCAGAGAAATAGTACAGATGTTTAGGTAAGAGGGTATTGCATACAGTGAACTCATATTCGATCCCCTGCACAACTTTGAGTCCCCCAAACCCTACTGATAGAAAGTTCTGAGCATACCTGTGCTTTGCCCCCAAACCAAAGTCAAAATCGAAACCAAAATTTTCTTTCCTGCTTTGAACATTTTTTACCGTTGCACGTTAATATCTCCAATCTAAAGTTTGGTATCATCGTTATGAAACCAATCCATTCATTTAAGTCTGATTTGTACCTGGGAGGAAATAATCAAATGTTTGTCAAGAAGTTGCTCACTTCAAACAAATGCATCAGATGAAAATTAACCTCAGTTTTAACTTATGGCCTCAATAAACTAGAGAGCTGAATTATTTTCCAAGGGTTTTTGAACTAGATGACCAAAATCAGTCATCAAGTGTTATGAGGGCAAATGAAGTTCATAGTTTAAACTATGGATAGCTATCATTTCTTCAATCCTCATGTTGACACCTGATTATAAGTCACGTGTTGCAATAGAACAGGAAATAAGGTAAGACCTTAGTAGTGGACAGATAATAATTATGCAGATAGATAAAATAATATCATCCTATAAAAACAAAGCAAGATGGTATCGTACTAACTTGAAGGATGGGCTGCTCCAACAGGTGTAGAAAGCCTCTGGGGAAATGACAATTGGGCTGAGACCAACAGATAAGAAGTCAAGAATGGTCAGGGATGTTACTCAGTGGTAGAGCTAGTGGTAGAGCATATGAATGTATGAAGTCCCTGGATTCCATAGTAGTGGGAGCAGGGGGCAGGAAAGGAGTCAAAAACATTCTTGGTGGGGATAATAGCAAAAGCCCAAAGTCTGGAATGCACTTACAATGGTCTTATCTTCTTATTTTTATGTCGGTCAAGGGAAAATGTCTAGAGAATTATTTTATTCCCCACATTTCCATTAACCAGCATGGTTAAGAAGAGCTTAATATATTGGAAACTCCAGGAGCCTATCTAAGTTTGAATCCAGAAATAGTTTACCTTGTCAAAAAGTAGTGATTTGGACTCAGCAGTACTCAACCGACATGTGAAGTGACCAGTAGGAATGTTCCCCAAGCTTGTCTATAGGTTACCATAAGGGTCAAATCCTTAAGGCATTGGGAAGGTGATGTAAAAACAATTCAACAAATACTGCTGGACATTCACTAATGGACACTGGAGATATCAGTGACCTCTTGAGTGAGCCTCTTGCAAAGTGGGCTGTAGGCCCTCTTTTCCCCAAAGCTTAATTTAAGGGGGAAGTCGCATGCAGGCAGATTAGATCAGAGAGTATCTTGGGAAAAGAAGAAAGGACGAGGAGGAAGAAAGAGAAGCATGAGCAGTTGGATTAGCAAGGTCATTGCTGTAGTCAAAGGAAGCTTGACTCTACTGAGGTTGCATAAACAATTGTGTGCTAAGGGAGCTGGGACTGACAGTTACTAACTGGATTCTGGTGAAGAGTGGTCCCTGGGGACAAGAACTCCCTTGCCCTTCTGGACTGTGCTTTTGCAATTCAGTGCAGTATTGGAGAAGTTCTGTGCAGAAAGGGAGAGGGAGAAAGAGACACACACACACAAAAGCATGCCACAGAAATGAGAGACTGTCAGTATCAGGTAAGTCTGAGCTTGTAGGGAGTCTTCTGCTACAGCTACTACTGAAAGGAGCACTGGGTAGGCCAAAGGATGTGACAATCTCACCGGAGCTGGGGAGTGATTTCCTGTTAGACTAAGATTTATGGTGGGGATGGGGAAGTGAGGATTTGCTCTCCAGTTCTATTTCTTAGGCTGATCCTTCTAGCAAACAAGGTAAGAAACTTGGATAAAATGGAACGGTAGAAACAGGGCTAGGATCATTTGGTGATGTGCTTTAGTTTATTCCGCCGACACACCTCTTTGAAAAATCTAGTCCAGAATCTATCCTGTGATAACTCAATCCAACTTGGTATATGGTGTTTTCACAGGTAGTTTTCTCCTTTCCTTAGGGAGATCTTACAAGCCAGAAAACTTAGTCAAAGATTAATTTACTTGATTTAGAAAGGTTTCTCTGATGAAAGAAGGTAGAGTCTTTATGTAATTAGTGCATAATAAAAGATAATTATGACAAAGTCCGTGACTTCCCATGGTTTGACATAGTGAATAGGTAGGAGGTGATAATTTATTTAAGATGAAGGTGTGCCTCAACAAACTGTGGTTAATAATGCAAAAATCACAGTATTTCAAAGATTAAGTAAATTAGAAAGCATGCTAGTCCTAGGATAATATAAATAAGAGAAGGTAACAGTTTTATGCTCACATAACTCATGTTCCAAGTGACATTGGAAAAGTACACTGAATGTGAGTGGAATCGAGCAATAAAATTGAAAGAAAGTCTTGGAGGCAACTGAGGCTCTGGGCGTCTGCTTTCTCCCCTGTTAAATGGGAATAGTACTAACCCTTGTTTAATAGCTGGATAGAAGAACTGAATGGGCCTTTTGGGAAACTGGTCCTTAAACTTCAAGGCAGAAAAAATCATTACAATCAATCTAGAGTTTGAAATGTATTTGTCCCAACTTAAATTGTTGAAATGATTAAACACCACTCTACTTATTAAAGAAGCAAGTTCTTTTTATCCTAACATTGTTGAGTGTGAAGAATTTTCAAGTAGCCACAAAAACCAACAGTATGTAAATAAGTTTTAGGAGGCTTCAAAGAAAGAAACATATGTTTTTTCTCAACTGAGCATTACAGCATTGCTAACAACAACTAGGAAATTCACATTTTTGTATTGTTTCCACTATTTCACCTAAAAGTCCCCTTCGGAATGAGACCCTGGCCAGTGAAAGGTAGTACATCTCATATAATTTTATTATCATATTCCATTTCTATTAGCAGCTTCTCATTACTTTCACTTCTCCCAGCTCTTTATGCTCTTTGGCTCCTGGTAGTTTTCTTTTTATTAGAAGATATTAATTTTAGAATCTGTTTTCACCTATATATTTTGGTTAAAAGAATCTTCCAGACATGGAAGATGTTTCAAAATACAATTTATATTCTTGAGAAGTAACTTTAGTGAAATAGTGCTGATATTTGATTTTAGGCATTTTTCCATCTCACCAAACTCAACCTACGTTAATATAATTCTGACTTGATAGGTGAATTAAAACAAAATTTTTAAGAGATGGAGAGAGATTATTGGATTAGATGAAAAAGAGCTTTACTTTTTTTATTTTTAAATTTTTATTAGTGAAACACCATGAGGTACAGTTGTAGACTTACAAATTTTTGTGCTTGGGTTTCAATTATACAATGATCACGTACCCATCTCTCCACCAGTGCCCATTTTCCACCACCACGAATCCCAGTATCCCTCTCATGCCCCATCTCCCCCAAGCACTTTACTTTTAACAAAATTTAAATATATATCACCATAGTTTATGTGGGGTGAGGGGTCCCGGGTCCTTCTAAAGTGGTGGTCCTGGACCTACACCAAGTGGTACAGAAGTTGGATGTATGGTTCTCTGCTTGGGCTAGTGACA